GAGAGGATGGTGTTTTCGGTGTTGTCGGGAGGGGTGGGGGTGGAAGTGCGATTCGAAGTGGAGGGTGCTGGCGTTGAAGACGTGGATGCCGCGCGGGGTGGGCTTCGCAGGGGGTGGTAGGGGGCGGCGCCCGTGTAGCCGCCGATGATGAGGATTTGGCCGGAGTGTAGGATGCAGGTGTGCCCTGCGCGGGCGGGGGGGGAGGAAGGGGGGGTGGGGACCGCGAGCCAGGTGAAGGAGGGGATGGTAAGGATGTACATGTCGGAGTATTGGGTTTGTTGGCCCTGTGGGGGGTGGGTTAGTGGTGGTTGGGGGTTGGTTGGGGGAAGTGGTGGTTGGTGAGTGTTGGGGGGGCGGACATACGTAGGGTTGTAGGTTCTGGCCGCCGTAGAGGTAGACCTGGAAGCTGGATGCGTCTGGCGCGGACGCGGTCACGGCGCATGGGTTGACTCGCACGGATGGCGCGTCTCCGGTGGTCTTCTGCTGGTACCACTCCGATCGTGCAATGTCGTAGACGTCGAGGGTCGAGAGATCGTCGACGAACGTGTCGTTGCTGCCACCCGCCAGCCCGATGAGCACCCCTTTTTCACCCCAGCCAGGCACGAAAACCAAGACGCCGTCTGCTCTCTCGGGGAACCTGTCCTTGACTTGCAGACCGCCCTCAGTGATGTTGCGGTACGCGCCACCCTCGCCCGCCCCAGTCCCGTCGGCCAGCGAGTAGACGGCGTCGTTGGTGTATCCGGGGTGGGTGAACTCGAGGAGGCTCTTGAGATACACCCGGGCGATCTGGTTGGACCAGCCGGGAGTGGTGGACAGGTCGAGGTGGCCGCCAAAATACCAGCTCAATCCCAGCTCGGGCACCGATATGCCTGCGCCTTCGGCGGCACGTTGCACTGGTCGATCACCCGGGTCGGCGTTCTTGCCGGCCGAGGTCCTTGGTGATGGATACTCGGTCCAGGCCTTACCGCTGACGGAGTACTTCCAGGTCGAAATAGGGGCGGGCTCGACGAATGGATTGTCGGCAAACTGTCCGCCGTAGAGGTAGAGGTTGTTGTAGTCGTTCCAGAGATAACCCAAGGACACAGCAGGCGGGCCTGATGGCTGAGGGAGGCTTCGGAGTGCCGGTGAGCTGGTGTCCCAGGATTTTGTGAGATCCAACGCCAGGAAATTATTATCTGTGAGAGGTCAGCATAAGACACCATTTTCACCGTTTGGCTGGGAGGAGTTACTCCATGTATTCTCTTCTTGTTCCTTTGAGTACGTAGCCTGGCCACCGTAGATGTACAACGTCCCGTTCAGCTGGGCGGCTTTCCATCCGTGTCAGTAATCCCATCTAGGTCCTCGTATGGCGCGCTCTACACTCACCCTGATGGGCCCATCGCTTGCACACCTCTGTCGGCGTGTTTCTTCTCTCGAGGATAGGGCCGGGATTCCACGGTCGTGGTTTGAATCACGCCGGCCTCCGCAAGATTTGACGCAGTCTCCTCACGGCTCTGGTAATAACTAAAACCGGGTAACAGAACAGCAATAAGCAGTGCAACCGATGAGAGCCTGGTGATGGTAGACATGCTTGGGGGCGCACTTGAAACACTCTTGATCCTGGGTCGGCGAACCCTGGGTAGTCTGGAGTACCACGGCCGCTGGGAGGGCGATGGGGACGCTGGCTCGGATTGGGGCTCTACCCGTCCGTCTTCCTCTCCATGTGTCAGTCGCCTTGCCGTCTCTCTTCGGCCCGCATCGTCTGCATTGCGGTTCGCTGATTCAGGGGCATGAATGCTCGCGGGCGATGCCAGTCCCTTAGTCTCGCCATAATCCTTCTCGTTCGAGATGAACTCCTTCGGTTGATTTGTATCCAGGCCTAGCTCCTTGAAGATGGATTTCCGCTCTTTGGCGATCTTGTTCGACATTGAGAAGGACGGAGGTCTTCCTAGACCTTCACGGAGTCGGTCTTCGGTGCATCTGTGGTGAAACCTGGGCCTGCCAGGGTGACCTGGGGGTATTTCAGGGTCTGAGCAGGCCTTCGGCAGTTGGGTGTAAGGCATGATGGCAGCAGTGGTCGAAGCCTGGCCTGCTAAGCCACCAACGATGATCGCCGCAGGTGTGTCAGGGAGGCTTATGTGCGGTGGTTCGCCACCTTGCAGGCGGGATGGTGGGTGGCAGGGCCAGCCGGAGGGAGGTAATGAGGTCACGGCACGGAGCGAACCGTGTCTTAGAGGCTGCAGCGTGAACAGGTCACAGGGCGCGAGAGGGACCAGGGAGAAAAGCTCCTGGTCTCGGTCAAGAAGGTGATGATGATGTGGTTTTGATGAACGAGGAGAAAAGACGGAACAGCAAGGAACAATATCTAATAAGCCTAACATCCATACTAGCAGATCTATCTTGTCAACGCAACCACACATGGGAGATGATCAAGGTGAAGGCCCCAGGTTCTAGAAAGACAGTTGGTGAAGGCCTAGTGGCCCTTCACTGCCCTTGTGCCCTCCCAGCGCAATACAAAGTGTGGAGGCACGGAGGTCCAGGGGACCGAGGATGAGCACAACGGCAGGCAACGCAGCCTACCATGGCCACCTAAGGAAGCGACGCTTTAGAGGCGAAGACATCATCGTTGGACTTACAAGTCACTGGTAGCAAATGAGAGCCGTTCGGGAAACAGGGCGCCGAGGAAAATGACCGCCAAGGCCTTGATTGATCTTCCTTGCTTCCCAAAGTTGGAGTGCTGGTAACGTTTCGTCCACGGAGCATTTGAACCGGAACCGAGCTTTGGAGTTGGATCGAGGTCGGGAGAGGCTTGGATTGGCTCGATGGGGAGCTTGGATTGGATATGAATTGCCGAAAACAGAAGTTCTCTCTTTGCCTTGGTTGGTGTGTTGATGCTTGCTGTTCTGGGATTGGATCGAGCCAGGTTCATGACCTCATTTCTGCATACAAGCAAAGGGCAAAAACCACGGCCTCAGTTCGAGCATACACTGGTTTGCCGGACAACCGATCAACCCACTTTTGCGCGCCCCGGGTGGCTCGTTCATGGTGTTTGGAAGCTGGTGTCGCAACAATGAATAAAAAGGCGTTTTAGTGCTCGAAACTGACGGGAGGCAAGGTTGAAGTTGGCAAAGGTCGAAGCTCCCAGGCGAAGGAAGGGGGGGTTAGGGTCTGGTATGCCAACCCAGGCAAGCCAGGCACGCACGCTGCCAGGATTATCCCAACGGCTACTCCTGCTTCTTTGGCTCAACGACCTCTGTTCCTCAATTCCTTGAACTTTGATCACGCTGCCCTGCCAGCCTGTTTAATCTCGTCACGTACTTGGATCAGCATGTCAACCCAAAATGGCACGACTGCCCTCCCACGTGCCTCCCTCGGGCCTGCCTTGGATTCCCACGATCAAGACGACGTTGAAATCAGGACGACATTAAAAATGCACTGCATATAATTATTTAGTGGGTATCATCTTGTCGATTACAATACATTACGAACAACCAGCAAAAACTCAGGCCCTTACTCCGAAACTAATAAACCCTCAGACCATCTCTCCGCCTTTTTCATTCTTCCAAGTGCCGGCGTAGTGATGTTTGAGCAGAGGAGGGGGCACATGCATCGCCTCATCGTAGGTATTCGCTGATGCCGCAAACGCGTAACCGGGGAGGACCAGCACATCTCCAGCCAGCTTCGGTTCCAACAGCTCCTGGATGTCCTCGAGTGTCGTATTGTACGCCTCCCCCACGCTCTTCAGAATGCTCCGTGTGAACCTCCTTGGGCCAGTGGCATCGACCACGTCCCCGAGCATGTCTAGAGTCAGCCCCTCGATTGGCACGTTCTTCTCCTTCATTTTATCCCGGAATGACTGCAGGATATCTTGGACCACCATCCACAGATGCGGCGACCCCGGCTTGGCCATGATGGACCATGTCGTAAACTGTCGGATGAAGTTGCCGGGCCAGCCGACATCGAACTCCCAGCCTACCACGACGCTGGCGTTCCCTTGGAACTGCGGCGGTATCCATTCATCGATTGGCACCTCGCACGAGATATCCAGGTCGCAGTAGACCCCCCCTTCGGAGAAGAGGAGAAGATATCGGAGAATGTCAGCTTTAAAGATGGGGACTGGTTCATCCCAACTACCGTTAGCAAACCGCGGAGACAGGGATGACACAATTGGGGCCACAAGGTACGTACCCGTCAAGCCGAGATACATCTCGACGAGGTCGGGATCAGTCGCCCCAAATTTGTTCCGGACATAACTGTCGGCCGAAGACTCGGTCATAAACTCGACCTCATAGTCGGTATTATTCCTGATGCAGCTATCGGTCCATGCTCGCGTCTTGTCGCTCAAGCCCTTCGGTCCGAGTTTGTACCATAGCTTTTTCGGTATTGTTGAAGGATGCGACTGGGTTGCCCGCCATTGGGGTAGCCGACCGCTCAACCGCCAGCGCTCGCTTGGACTCCAAAAAGTATACACAATCAAGGGAGGGAAGCAGGCCAAAAAGAGGGCGACGAAGACGATGGACCGGGAAAGCTTTCGCGACGCTAAAAGGCAGTGCACAGATTGCATGGTTGCCGGCGCTCCGCGCTGCTATTGTTTGTAATTGCGCAGCCCCCTCTCATGATGGGGGAGGGAAGAGGGGAATGGCACGTTTTAAACAACCCGCGCCAACAGATTGGGAGACGTGGCATGGCGGCTAGGAAAAGCGAAGCATTGGAGATTGCGAACCCCTGGCGCTGGCGATGGGCGAATCGAGAATAAGCGCTGGACCCGACAACTTGGTCGCCCACGGCGCTATTGGCGGAAGCCCAGGGGGCTTGCACCCGGCCTGAATGCGCGCTTAATTCGGGCATGACCAGCGGTCGGTGTCAAGCGAAGTCGAGACGATGAGAATAGATTCGCAGCCAAGGCTGTTGCTAAGCGCCAGCAAGATTCCATGCAACCCATGAGCCCCTGCGATCAACAGTGCCGAATGGGTTGCTGCAGTAGCTGAAACCAACAGCTTCGGGTCAAAATATGTATAATACGCCGGGAGGGAGGTGTCCGCGCACCATCTATCTTGGACTGGATGACGGATTCTCCGCCCTTATGAGAAATTCCACCTCAAATTTCGACATCCGATCATTCCCATGCTTTTGCTCATGCTATCCTGACATCTTACTCGATCCAAACCGTCTATCGTTATTCTCTCGTTATGCGCCTTCTCCAATTGCTCACGGCTTTTCTGCCGTGTGTATTAGCCGAGATGGAGTTCATCAACCCGCCTCCGTTTGGGGCCGTCGGTGATGTTAGCAAGAACCCAACATACGTGATAGGCAGCGTGGTGGAAGTTTCTTGGACTCCGGGAGAAGAAGGGAAACAAACGTCACTGACACTGTGGCAACTAAATGCCACCACGGGCGAATACTTCGGCTCGATGCAATACATTACCCGTAAGTCACGACCTTCCATCTGGTATTATGTTATATGCTGATGCCAGGTCCACAGGTAAGGTCGTGGACGTATCGACATTCACTTGGATCGTGGCCACAACCAAGGACCTCTCGGTATCCAACATGTTCTTCCTGAGCATCTTCGAGGAAGGGAAATCCAGTGCCGACGCCAACAGCCACTATTTCAACCTCACGGCGAATAGCAACATACGGCCGACGGCGGCCTCTGAAGGAAGCACAAGTGCCTCCAGCATCACTAGGACGGCAGCAACATCCACATCAACCACCGCCCCCGTCCAAACCACCCCCAACCCTGCTGCCACAAGCAACGCTCCTCTCTCCGAAACTTCAAGCGGCTTAGATTCCGGCGCCAAAATTGGAATTGGCGTCGCCATACCCGCTGCTGCCGTGTTGGGTGCCATTGCGGGTTATTTCATACTCAGGAGGCGGAGAAGGATGGTCCAGCCTCCGGTCGCGCCCGCATACCACGACGACAACCCCTATAACGGCATGGGAGGGGGGAACTGGGAGCCGTATTCAGAAAAGCGGCCAGGGCTATCAATACCAGCGGCATATGGCCATAGTGACAACCCCAAGTACTACAACCCAGCGGAGCTGAACGTTATTCAGGAGCCGCGCAGAGTGTTTGAGTTGCCTGGGAGCTAGTACAGGGTATGGGAGACTTTGGGTAATAATTAGGATTTGGGATTTGCATGTAAATAGACTTATTCTTTGTTATTTTTGCTCATTGGCGTTGTACTAGCGTCGTGATGCTGTGTGACTGATCCAACAAGGCTCTCGTATAAATTCGGACTTTTTCATTCATGGAGAATGTTCTCAGGAGACCACGATCAGCGAAAAACAACTGCCGTCATTCTCACCACCTGATAGCATGTAAGCTAAAGCAATGATCAGTTTCTTTAGATTGACGTAATAGATACTTTGATTCTTCCGTTTTTGACACAGACTTCGTTGTCACATCCCATCACCGAGGTGCTTGACTGGTTCGAGACCGGGTTTGATCCATTTGAGCGAAACTTAGCATGAACCATGGCCCGGGTATCCGGTTTTTGTCTCCTACATGGATGATCCTGTCCGGAGGACAATATTGCGGCCAAACTCCAAAAGAATTATTATGGTAAAGTCACGTGATTTAAATAGAAGAAAACTCTCGAAAAATCATACGATCTGCCAATTGGTCGACAGGGCTGCGGTCTCCACTATTTCTGCTATCGTGTTTTGGACGCGTAAATTGGCGGGATAAGATCAGCCCATGTCTGTTTTGGGACACTCGCGCGACAGTTGTTATTTACCTCCCAATCCAATGTTCCCATCCAGCATGGAGATCAACGGAGAAATGAGGGTTTGTTCCCACTGCAGAGAGAAGCAGCCTGCCATGCAGTTTGTTCACCTGCGTGATTCCTCGAAGACAGTACAAAGATGTCTTGCTTGCCGGAAGAAGGCGGCCGACAGAGTAACCATAGCTTCCCACCATACTTGATTTGTTGCTAATACAGATCGCACAGGTGAAACAATCGACCACTTCCGTTGCCATAATGCGTGAGATTGTAGGCAACAAAAGGCTTTCTGACGTGTCGGACGAGGTGGCGGCCCCGCCCAAGCGCAAGAACCTCACCCATGCTGTGATGAGTGAGCGGTATCACGCCGGCGGTGTGGTAGAGGGCGACTCTGTCACCGTCGCTGCTGCTCGTCAAGAGCTTGCCCGCATCCAGAGAGATCACCGGTCATTGCGGCGTAATGATGAGGAGCCGAGTCAGACACCCCGACTGAGCGAGTTGCTTCGTCGGCAATCTAAGGGCCGAGAGGATGTCGAAGGAGACGACCAAAGTAGCGATGATGACCGGAGCAATTCCCGCTCCGAGCCAGGCATCGCAGTAGCAGAAGGGCCTGTACCGGAAGAGCCTATCGAACAGCGAGGGAAGCGAGGCCGGCCTCGAAAACAGCCCCCTTCCGATCCGACTCTTCGCCGTCCGCCTGGCCGACCACGGATACATCCCCTTCACAATCCAGCTGCTCCTCGCCGCCCACGTGGCCGTCCTCGCCGTGTCACTCGTCCAGAACCTTCTCCAGCGCCCCTACGCAGCCAAATTCGCCATGGTCGCCCACCAAAGCCGAGACAACCAGTAGGCCGTCCTCGCAAAATTCCGGTCAATGACCCGCCGCCGGTCCCGCCCCGCGATTTCAACGAACCGCCTCCTAAATACACGGGCGATCTGCAGGGATCTCCGCTTTGCAAAAACGATGTTACTATCAAGCATGAGTTTAACGAGCGCCTTGCGCAGGAAAACATGCGCCTTTGTTTCAGATGTAAGGAACGCTGGTTTGATGTTGAGCTAAAGGCGGATGGAGTTTGTAAACGCTGTCACCAAAAGGATGACAAGAAGCGGGCTGACGAACCTTTCCTTTACTCCGCCGAGAACCACCTGGACTTTGGAGAGATGCCAGACTCTCTACCCATCCTCCATCCCGCCGAAGAGATGGTTATCTCGCGGGTCCACGTTGCAGTCAACGTGTTTACGGTGTGTTCCTTTCTATCTTTGTTGGCATTGCTTCTTACTTTTGGCTTTCAGGTCCGGGGCCAGCAGTACAAATATCGCGGCCATGTTGTTCATTTCCTTCGCGACGTAGGCAAGGTCTATGACGAACTTCCATTGCTGCCCAAGGATTTGGATATCGTGATTCTGCGTCCGAGCGGTTCTGAAGCCGATCCCGCGATGGACCGACAGTTTCGCAAGCGATTTCGCATTCGCCGCCGAGTGGTGGCTACCTGGCTCCGTTTCCTGTCACGCAACCATCCTGGCTACAAAGGCTTTCTCCTTAGCGAATCAAATCTAAGCCAGCTACCCGAAGACGAGTCCATCTTCGATCAACTTACCATCCACGAAGTGAGCAGCTGGGAAGACCTAGAGCCCGACCAGGGCCCAGTCGACGGTGACAGGCCGGAGAACGAGGATGGGCTGGGGTTCGATGAAGCAGCTGTACCCAACGTGCTGGTCAAGGATTCGGAATTCGCCCTGCTGCAGGGCGGACTCGAAAACAACGGCCCGGAGAACCAAGAACGTCCTCCAATGCAGCAGCAGCAACCGCGCGACGCTCACCACCTTCCAATGCCTCCCATCAGATTCACGCCGATCAGCGAGTTCAACCGGTCGCAGGCTCTGCTGTCGCTAGCATGTCCCAGCCTCTACCCACGCGGTCTTGCTGATTTCAACCAGCCGAGGCAACGCGCCATCAGCTACTCGGATTACTTGGCGCATGCGATGAAGTGGCATGACGGGCGTTTTGCCCGCCATCATACCTTCCGTTACATCGCATTGAACACCCTCATGCGGCAGCAGGCCTATGGGCACAGCCGGTTCTACGTCAACAAGCAGCGGTCTACCGTCCTAACCAAGGCGGAGTTACAACAGGCACTGGAGAATCCCGACCGTCCTGAAGCTCAGGCAATCCTCAACCAGATCTCCCGCTTTGCTGGGGCGATTCAGGGTACGAGACCCTATTGGTACCGCCGGCGCAGGGAGTGCGAATCTTTCGCGCACTGTCTGGGCGTCCCCGGCGTATTCATCACGTTGAGCCCAGCCGATCTGCACTGGCACGACCTCTACCGGCACATGCCGGAATTCGAGCGGTGGCAGGTGTTGGACGAGCCGGCCCGGATCTCGTTGTCCGGTCGCCTGCTTCGCGAGAACCCCCATATCGCGGCGTGGTACTTCACCACGCGGTTCAAGGCATTCCGAGACGTGGTGTTAACCAAAAAATTTAACCTTTCAGACTTTTAGTGTCGGTACGAATGGCAAGGACGAGGCAGCAGTCATAACCACGGGCTGTACTGGTTTGAAGAGGGCCCGCAGCAGGCTACCAGCACAGATGAGGAGAGGGCGAGGTTCGCGCGTTTGTGGGGTTACCACATCTCGGCGGAAAACCCCCAGCCCCATCGGATTGGACAAGGAGGTGATGGCGGCAACCCACTGAACGTCGACGCACTGCAGACGGAAGTAACATGGGACTGGCTGGATCGCGTCCTCAACCGGTGCCAACGGCATCATTGCTCGTCCACCTACTGTTTGCGCATCAACAAACGCGCGGCGGAACTGGCAGAGAAGAACGGCGAGCCGGGCCCCGAACCGGAATGCCGGTTTCTGTTTCCCCGCCCGCATCGAGAGGAAGCCGGCTTGGTTAGAAGGCCGGGCAAGACGTGGTGGTCGTTTGAGGCGGTACGGAACGACTCCCACATGAACCAGTATAACCGGCTCATCACGCTCTGCTGGCTGGCCAACACCGACATCTCGCCGTGCACCGGGATCGAGGCGGTGATCAACTACGCCGCCAAATACTGCAGCAAGACCGAGACCAAGACCAGCACGTACGCCGAGATCGCCGGGGCCATATTGCCACACGTCTCGGACAGGAACCCCATGCTGTCGTTTGTTTCGAGGATGATGAACAAGTTAATCGGCGAGAGGGATTACTCCGCACAGGAGACGTGCCACATCCTCCTCAAGCTACCCCTCTACCAGGACAGCCGCGTTGTGATTAGCGTCGACTGCCGACCGGCTGACAGGCATAACCGGTTGGCAGAATTCTCCGAAGCGGATGAGGCTGTCCAGACGAAGAAGACGTCGTACGAGAAATACCTGGAACGGCCTAGTGACATGGAGGCGGTGTCGTATTTCAGGTTCCTGGAGACGTGGAACTTCCAATCGCCAAACCCGGGCAACTGGAGGGAATGGCGCCCACCCGCTCGGCCCAGGGTGTTGTATTACTTCCCGCGGTACACGCCGGTCCATGGGCACGTACAGTTCGAGGACTTCTGCCGGGTCAAGCTTATGCTGGCACATCCTCATCGGGAATGCGGCGGCTTTCTAACCCTCGACGGTACCCGTTTCTCAGGCTACGTGGCGGCATACGAGCACTGCTTGGAGCACCATGAACATGAGGATGACCACTACGGAGAGGCGGAAGCGCCGGAACCCGCGGCTGACGAGGACGAGTTCCGGGCTGTACCCTTCCAGGAAGATATCAGTCTCGAAGACTGGCAGGAGCTCGCACGCATGGTGCCTGAGCTCCAACCAGAACACGAGGAGATCGACCTACTGACTAGGCGAGATATCGACATCAGGTACGACTGGCATCCCCACGTCGGCCGGTATATCGATGAACGGTTCGACAGCGGCAAATACTGGGATCTTCTCAAAGTCGAGCACCCCAGTATGGCGGGAGATGTTGAACACATTCCTCTGAAGGCCCGGGATACCCTCAACCGGGAACAGAGGATCGTGTACGACACTATTATGGGCCACCTAGAACGGGATAACGTACCGCCCATCCTGTTGCATGTTGACGGCGGCGGAGGCACTGGGAAGTCGTACATGGTCAACATGCTGTCGTCTCACCTCCAGCAAACTCTCCCCGGCCGAAAATCGCCCATTCTCCGTGCCGCACCCACCGGGGTCGCGAGCAACCAGATCAATGGCCAGACGCTGCACTCCCTCCTCCGCTTGCCTATCGATGGCAACTACCGCCCGTTGACCGAAACACCCACTGTTTTGGGGAACCTACAGCGTGTTTTTGCGGGTGTACGTTACCTCGTCATCGACGAAAAGAGCATGCTGGGGCTCAAGACTCTGGGTTGGATCGATCGGCGGCTCCGCGAGATCTTTCCGGAGAAGAATGACTTCTTTTTCGGCGGATTGAGCGTCATTCTGATCGGAGACTTCTTCCAGCTGCCGCCGGTGCTGAACAAGCCGATCTATGCCGAGTACGACAGGTTGATGAAGGAGATGGAGGTTGCTGGTCTCAATGCCTACCGCGCCTTCGAGCACTCGGTTTTCTTGGAGACAATCCAGCGGCAACATGGGGCGGACCAGGCCGGGTTTCGCGACGCCTTGGTCGAGCTCAGACAGGCTCGGGTGTCGGTCACGGGGTGGGAGCTGTTAGTCTCCCGGTGCGCGTCCAATCTCTCACCCAGAGTACAAGCCGGTTTCGCGAACGCCGTACGCATTTATCCGACGAGAGAAAAGGTGCGGTCTTATAATCATGACCACATGGTCGACCTGAACTCTCCGGCCCTCTACGTAGAGGCTACCCACCAAGGCGACGGGGCAAGTAAGGCCGAGTCGAAAGACGCCGGCAACCTGTCGAGCCGCTTCCCGGTATGCATCGGCGCCAGAGTGATGTTGACCAGGAATATCTGGAACCCGGTGGGCCTGGTGAACGGCGCCCAAGGCACGGTACACGATATCGGCTGGGCGGAAGGGGCGGACCCCCTGCGGGATCCGCCGTTGGTCATCATGGTGGCCCTCGACAAGTATACGGGGCCGCCGTACTACACAAGAGACGTAGAGCTTCAGGACGGGCAGGGCAGGTTGGTGGTCCCGATCCTGCAGGTGAGGCAAGACTTCACCCTGAAGAACAAGACGTGCAGCCGCACACAGTTCCCCCTAGTGGTCGCGTACGCTATCACGGTGCACAAGTCCCAGGGGATCACGCTGCCCAAGGTGGTGTGCGACATCTCGGAGCGCGAGTTCGCTTCCGGGTTGTCATACGTGGCCGTCTCCCGGGCGTCGAGGCTGGACGGGGTGATGTTCGACGTACCATTCGACCGAAGCCGAGTGAACCGGGACCCGCCGACTGCTGCCATGCAGAGGAAGCTGGCGGATTACGAGAGGCGTTGGAAGGCTAGGTTGCTAGAGCCGCTATACCGACCAAGCAACGTGGAAGCGAGCGATACGGAGAGTTATGTGTGACTACGAATTAAGCATGTAGAAAATAGCAAGCAGTTTGGCCGAACAATATTAGACTCCGGACAGATATTGGCGCTTCGTCTCTCCCGTACTTAATAACAATAAATTAGCTCGATTGTCCTCCGGAGAGGGACAGGAAAATTGCCAGGAGCGGGAGAGAGGAAGGAAGCGCCCCGTAGCGTAGCGAAGGGCCGCGCGACTGACGAACGAAGCGACGCCAGCAATTTTATAGCGGTTGTTTGGGTGGACATGTTACGATTATCCCCATAGAACTGGGGATTCTGGAGTACGGGGTAGGACAGGACACAATACCACTAATGACAGGCCAGGATAGGGCAATGCAGGATAGGGCTGGACCTCCTCTTCATGTAATTAGCACATGCGTTATGCACAATTTCTCTAGTAATATCCCTTAAATCGATTATCTTACAGTCCTCAAAACAAAACTGTGACGAACCTACTTCAGGACCCTGTCCTGTTAGGGTTCAGCTTCGGTTGAAGGTAATCTCTCAAGGGTGCTTAGGTTCGGTGCAGCCAAAAGGTGCACAACAAAGGCTTGTCTCACCAGTAGGGCTCCCGTGCTGTGTAGCGAACTGTAGTTGTGATTGCTTAACTGGAGAACTCCCAGAGCTTTCCAGAACGAGTGACTATATACCTATCTAAGTCCCGTGGGCTCAGTTGTGCTCAAGTTGTACCCTCCTACTGAGCTCACTGAAGCCACTCATGTGGGGTTCCCTGATTGGTTTTGTTTAGGCGACTGGCCTGTGTTCCCACCCGTCGGCCATATCCCGTGACAAAAACACAAAAAGTATGATCACCCATTCACAAACTTCAAACTCACCTTTCACCCCCTAACTGCTCCGCAACTTCTTCTTCGGGCGTAGCTCACCGGCATAGTTGCGGAAGAACTCGTCCGGTTCGGTCGGGTGCTGGCCCGTGACGTCGTGGAATGCCGTCGTCGAGATGTAGTTGGTCTTGCCCTCGCGTACCAAGCTGTAATAGTCGAGGATGTACTCTTTCTCCGAATCGTCGAGGTCGGTCTGCGATTTGAGTACCCGCTTCGCCTCCCGTCTGGGGCTGGTTAGCATGGTGGCGGCGAGAAGAGACGGAAAAGGGTAAGCTCACTCGGAGATATTGTCAAACTCCATGGTTTGACCTAGGGCTTTGCTGGCCGATTCGGCGAGTTCCTTGCCGGAACAAAGCATGGGGCCCGTGAGGACCATCAGCTGGCCACGATGCCGGTCGTCAAAACCGTGCGGGCCCTTTCCGGTAAGAACGTGGGCGGCCACAAGAGAGACGTCCTGACGATGTCAGACCTTAAAGACATGACAATGTTCGGGATGTGGCGACTTACACCCAGTGCGATGGGGGCAAACTTGTGGTTCTCGCCGATCGGAAGCGGCAACAGACCCTCGTTGCGAGCCTGTTCGGAATAGAGAAGAAGGTTCTCAGCGTAGAAGCCCGCCCTACAACACCCCAGACAAACCATTAGCACCACCGACTTCCCAAGTCCCAACCCCCACCCACTCTCAACCCCGCCGACTGGAAACTAACCGAATCACACAAGGCGAATGCCCAACGCACTCTCCGGATCCCCCTTCGCGCTCAACACCACGCTCTCCAGATCCACAAACTCCCGCAGCCTCGGCTGCGCCGCCCTCTCCGCATAGTCGCACCCAGCCGCGCTGATCAGCAACACATTCGCCACCCCCGCCTTCTTGGCCGCCTCGGCCAGCTCCAGCGCAATGTCCAACTTATCGCTGCGCGCGGGCGGCACGAGGCAGAGGGTGTCGCAGGCGGTCTTTTGGAGGGTGGCGACGACGTCGCGCGCGCGGCCCGGCGTGTGCGCCGCGATGACGGCGCCCAGCGCCTGCAGCTCCTTGGCTTTGGGGGAGGACGGGTCGAGGGCGAGGCCCGTGAGGCTGTCGATGCGGGGCTGGAATCGGTCGTCGGTGAGGAGCAGCTCGGCGATGAGGAAGCCGGTTTGGCCTTCGATGGAGGTGATGCAGATGTTGCGTGCCATGTTGGGGTGGGTGGTGGTGGGCTGGTGGTGATGGTGATGGTGTGGTAGCTGTGGTTTGTGGTGGTGTAAGTCGATCGAGAGTGGACGAGTTGGGACGGGGAGAGAAAGGGTTTTCCTGGAAATTTTGTTTTGTATATAAAAGAGGGCCACTCGCTCTGGTTTTATGAAAGTAGGGTTTCTTATGAAATCCCCATGGTGGCCAGGTATTAGTGATTTCCCACAGGTATTAGTGATTTGGCACGACTCTTATTACATCATGACTCTCGGGTGTGACAGGGAACTCTTGAATCACGGCCCGTGGCTGGTTCCGCCAGAGTTCTTAACCCAATCCAGCGAGCTACTTCCCCATGGCTACTAGCACGTAAAGAATTCGATTATCTTTAGATTGCGAGCTAAAACCTCCAGACCCGAAGATATCACAGTTGCGGATAGATCCGTTGGCAAAGATGTCATCAATTGATTAGCAACCTTGTTTTATTGGACCTGCAACTTGCTTAACCTTGATCCTCAGATGCCTTTCCCAGGTAAGTAGCTTTGAACGGAGCTTGCAACGAGTCACAGACAGGAAAAGTAAGGCGAGTTCATTCTTCGTTGGTGCAGTATGCGAAGCCAGCTGCCCCAACACCCTCCGCTCAGGTTACCCTCGTTTATCCATCGAGCTCTTCCTTGACAACAACCACATCTTCAACAATTGTCTCCGCCGCTTGTTACTTCTTGATGGCGCACTGCAGTCGTCTTCAGCCCAAAATGACGCCCCTTGCTCACCCCCGTGCATTCGTTGCTCCATACCATCTCCGTGAAAGAATTCAGGATGGGCCGTAGATTGCAAACAGTCTGAAGCTTGACCAAAACGCGGTCTGAACCGTAATTTGCGCCATCGGCGTTTCCAGACTTGAGAATGCCGGGAGAGACGGCCAAGTCGACAACCGGAGAGAAACTGTTCGTCGGGACCGGAGGGATGTCTTTGACGAGCTCCATCGTCTCAGCGTCGAACGGGAATCCAAAACCCGGGGGCCTAACGAGAGGCAGCTTGATCCGGGTAATGAACACCTGGAAATCTGCCTTTGAAGCTCGAAAGACGCCTGCGAGGTGAGCGGCGTTCCGGACGATGCCATGCAAATCTCGCTGTAAATCTAGCACAACATAATTCCCCATGAGGCCAAAGAGGCCTACCAATTCCGACCACGGACATACGAGACCGCAACCACGATCTCTGCCATCGCGACTCACACGAGCGCCCCCCGTTCAGCTTCGGCGCTGAAGAGAGGGAGGACGACAGCTACCAGGTGGTAGGCAGGAAGAGGCTGAGAGGAAGACCGACGAATGTGGCTGCAGCCCAACGTCAGGCTCTCTTAGACCCCCAGCAGACCAGGATCAACTTCGAGGCGCCGGGGGTGCGATTCGCAAGCCCGGTAGTCAGCGGTGTCGACACCACTGCCCTGCCGCCCCGAGCGCCCGAGCCGGCTACCGGACCAACGCCTACCGCCGCCGCCAACCCTGCGGTCACTGCCACTCCGGACCAACGCGACGCCGAGGGAGACACCACGATGGACTCGATCACCGTCGCAGGCGATGAAAATTAAAATTTTACTCTGGAACACCGAAGGAAACAAGCAAACACTGGAAGTCTTGCTGGAAGAGGTCAAATATGACCTCTTGGCGGTGCAAGAACCGTGGATCAACAAGACGACAAAATCCACATACTGCGCCGGGAGCAGCAGATACCACCTGGTACATAAACTCGAGGGGCGGGCGGCAATATATGTAGGCAAAAGATTTGAAATTAGGCAGTGGGGCTCCGAAGCCACGGAGAATTGATGCCGCGTGTGGTTCCCAGAGGCGGACCTCGGAAGGGAAAGCCGCGGATTCGAGCTTTGGTCCATATACAACTCCCCCGCCGGCGAGAACGTACCGAGAGCCCTCTCAGGGCGGCTCAGGCTCAAGCCACTCTGGTGGTTCTGGCAGGAGACTTCAACCTAAAGAACCCACTGTGGGATGGGTTTCGGACGCTACGACAGGAAATCTGAAGACCTAT